GGGTCTTCCTTGTAGGCATATGGATATTATCCTATCACTGACAGCATTGTACTTCCGGACAGATCTTGAAACATCCTTTGTGATGATGAATGCGACACCATTCCTCTTTAAACTGTCACTCCCGGCATAGTGGATCATATGGTTTCTGATTCAAAATGGCCAAAACCAGTCCATTTCAGCTCACTAATGCCTAGAATATCAATCTTTATGCATTCCATTTCCTTTTTGACAACTTCCAATTTTCTTAGATTCATACTTTGTACATTCCATGTTCCGATTATTAATGGATATGTGCTGCTGTTTCTTCTCAATTTGAGTAGTGCCACGTCAGCAACTGGAGGTTTCGAAAGCTTTACATTATCCATATGAGTAAGGCTGATTTTACTCTGATAATGCAGCTCTTTCCCAGTTCTACTTTGAGAGCTCTCTAAGCTAAGTGACTCATCTTCCTCTTCTGTATTGGACAATGTTTCTGGACTATTCATAAAGTTGCACTGTAATGTATCAGATATTGTTTCTCTGCTATTCATAAGGTTTTCCCAGGCCAATTCTTTGAGAAGTGGATGGCCTCCTCCTTCTTCCTAGTCTGTCTCAGTCTGCAAACCAGGATGATACCTGTGCAACAGGTGCACCCCCACTGGGTTTGAAATACCAGTGGCACAGCCTCAAGACTCACAGACTCACAGTAACACATCACCACAGTAGGACAAACCAATAGACAAGTTTGTATCCCTCAGCTGTTGGAAACCCCTCCAACCACCCTTACCTGGTTCCCTGAGGCTAACTCCTCGATCTGTCCCAGTCCTCTTTTCCTTTTCTGTCCTCCCCCTGCTTCCTGCCTCACTGATTGTGGTGGGTGGCCTGGGTTCCCTCTCCTCACCTGGATCCCTGCGGTTGAATCCTCAATCTGTTCTGGTCCCCTTTGCCTTTTTTTTCCTCTCCCTGCTTCCCCCCTCACTGCCTGTTCTTAGGTCCCTTTTTTTGGCCTCTCCCTACTTTCTATCTCACTGACTGTTCTTAGGTCCCTGGAATCCGAATGAGAATGCTATCACTTTGAAATCCAAAATGGCTGCCACTTGTAAACATTCAAAATGGCTGCACCCTCGGTCACTTTAAATATCCAAAATGGCCACTGCTTGTAAACATTCAAAATGGCTCTGCCCTCATTCACTTTAAACATCCAACATGGCCACCAATTGTAAACATTCAAAATGGCTGCACCCTCAGTCACTTTAACTATCCAAAATGGCAGCACCTTAATCACTTTAAATATCCAAAATTGCCACTGCTTATAAACACTATTTTCTATATATTAAAATAATAACTAATGATAACCATTAGTTTTTATATATTTATATATGCATGTCATTTCATGAAAGTGAGAACATACAGCATTTGTTTATTGTGATTGACTTATTTCACTCAACATAATGTCCTCTAGAGTCATCATGTTTAAGATGTTTCAGGGAATCATTTTTCTTTATTGTTGAGTAGTATTCCATTAAATGTATGTATCACACTTTATTTATTTATCTGTAACAAACACTTGGGTTGTTTCCATCTCTTTGCTATTGTGAACAGTGCCATGATGAATATAGGTGTGTATATGTCAGTTGTCAGTTTCTGTCACTTCCCTAGGGTGCATACCTAGGAGTGGAATTGGTGGGTCATATGTCAGGTCTATCTTTAGTTTTCTGAGGACTACAAGGCTGTTTTTCATAATAGCTGTACTACTTTGTATTCCCACCAACAGTGGATAAGGGTTCCAATTTCTCTGTATCCCCTCTAATACTTGTTATCCACCACCCTTTTTTTTAAAAAAAAAAAATCTTAGCCATCCTTACCTTATTGCTAACTAGTCAATTCTGACTCATAGCAACCCTATAGGACAGAGTATAACTGCATTGTAGGGTTTCCAAGGCTGTAAATCTAAATCTTTACAGAAGCAGAGTCTCATCTTTCACCCATAGAGTAGCTAATGGGATCAAGCTGCTGTCTTTTATGTTAGTAGCTGAGTACTTAATCACTGTGCCACCAGGGCTCCTTTAGATATCTTAGTGGTAGTGGAATGTATTTCATTGTGTTCTACTTTGTATTTCACTGTTGGCTAATGATGTTTTATGTCATTATGACATCTTTTCATGTCCCTGTTGGCCATCTGAATATCCTCTTTGATGAAGTGCCCCTTCATGTCCTTTGCTTAGTTTATGACTGGGTTATTTCTATTTTTGCTGTTAAATTTTAGCTATTTTCTATTTATTTTGATAGTAGAACCTTATCAGTTATATCTTTCCTGAAGATTGTTTCCACTCTGTGGGTTATCTCTCTAATCTTTTGATCCATAGGGTTCTTAAAGGCTGATTTTTCAGAAATAGATCATCAAACCCTTCTTCTAAGGTACCTCCAGTTGGACTCAAACCTCCAGCCTTGGGGTTAACAACTGAGTACCTTAACTGTTTGTACCACTCAGGGACTAATAAATGATTAAAAAAAAAAAAAAAAAAACCCACTGCCATCAAGTTTATTCTGATTCATACCAATACCATAGGACAGAGTAGAACTGCCTCACAGGATTTCCAAGGCTGTAAATCTTTCCAAGAAAACTCCCTCATCTTTCTCTAGCAGAGTAGCTGGTGGGTATGCACCACTGGCCTTTTTGTTAGTAGTCAAATGCCTTAACCACTATACCACCAGAGGTCCCTAATAAATGATAGGAAGGTCAATTCTAGTTAAATTTAATTTAGATGAAGTGTTGTAGCCCCAGTTGTTGTAACAGAGAACTCAGCCTGGGATCTAGGGGTTCCATCATGAAGGACTCTGTGTATTTTGCCTACTTAATCCACTCATACGTGTCCTGGGAATAACAAGTATTTCCTTGGCCCGGATGACAGACTCTTGGCTAGTCATCCCTGGTCCACATAGGTCATGCATGTGGACTAGCCTCAGAGGCACCTCCTGAGCTCCCATTCAACTCAGTTGGTCTCCCCTTTCTGTTTGCTTCTAACCTGGCTCTTGTACTGAGAGATTTTCCTACTAACATCCTGGAGCTTATTTGGCATTATTTACTACACAAGTAGAACATGACAACATTTGAGAAATAAGAAGAAAGAAAAGTTATCCATGAATCCCTTTTCTCAGCAGACAAAGCTGTTTGGTTTCCCTGAGCTCCTTTTAGCTCCTATCTATCAACATTGATAATGTCTAAACAGGTAGAATTCTATGACTTGATTTGGACACACTTTATTTATAGTCTGGGTTTTTTTTTTTTTTTCCTTAAGACAAAAGCATTTCTTACATTCTGCTAAATGGTGTTATTTAGCAGCATATAAAATGGTCTCAAAGGAACCCTGGTGGCACAGTGGTTAAGCACTCAGTTGCTAACTGAAAGGTTGGCAGTTTGAACACACCAGACACTCCACAGAAATAAGATGTGGTAGTCTGCTTCTATAAAGATGACAACCTTGGAAAACCTGTCCTACAGGATTACTATGAGTTGGAATTGACTTGATAGTAATGGGTTTGGTTCATTTTAAATGGTCTTAATAGTGACCAGTTTAATAGATCAATTCCATACACGTAATCTCCAAGGCCAGCAATAACTGCTTCAGGCATGATAACTGACCCACAGTTTCAGCAGTAGGCTAGGAAGAGGTAGAGCCAAGGTTGAAATCCAGGTTTCTCTGACTCCAAACCCTGCTCTTTCTACCCTGAATTTCTGAACCTATTTACCAAGATTAACATGAGGAGTGCTTGGGGATCTCATTTCCTGGAGCAGCACATCTGATCCTGGAGCTCTCTGTGCTAACTGAGAACCAGAGCTTTCCTAACTCAAGCCCCATAGCTTAGGCTCTCCGTCACCTGATCACAACTCTGTGATGCTGTGGCAGTGCTAACTCTGGCAGCTCCACCCCTATTCAGCTGGAGCCAAGGCCAAGATGATTCAACCACACCCCAGGACTCTTTGTCAAGGCCACAAGCTAGACTGTAGCCCTCATCATTCCTAGCTTCACCCATTTGCCCAGACTACAGAACCAGCCTCAAGCTGGTGTGTGACTGCATGCACCACCCTAGTGCCCATGCCCAAGAATGTCCTGGAGGTAGAGAGTTGTAGAAGAGAGGACAGCGGCATTAGACCTGAGTTTTCTAAAAACCCAATGCCTATGGGTAAGTGCACACTACTTAAGAGAATGTCACTAAAATGAATTTCTTCAATTCTCATCGCTTCTTTTTCCTTACCTCTAACAAAGAACATAAGTCTGGTGGTGTAGTGCCTAAGAATTTGACTGCTAACCAGAAGGTTGGTGGTTCAAAGCCACCAACGACTACATGGAAAGAAGATAGGGCAATCTATTTCCATAAAGATTTATCTCCTTGGAAACCCAGTGGGGGTTGCTATGAGTCAGAATCAACTCAGTGGCAGTGGGTTTGGTTTCTCGGTTTGGTTTTAACAAAGAACAAAACCTGCCCACAGGGTGGTAGTGATGATTAAGTGAGGTAATAAATGAGAGTCTTCATGCACCATTCCTTGCAATTAGAAAAAGCCCAGTAGGTGATAATAACTACATACATTATTAATAATAATAAACCATGGGGAAGTATAATACAGAGCAAGTACTTAATAAATTATGGTTGTCATTGTTATAACCATAATTTATCATATAATACTCTTGCTGTCAGCTATCTAAAATCATACTGTTATGGATAAGAAGACTGGAATTTTAGATGGTTGTTTCACCTTGTGAGAAGTCTGTCTTTCTCTTGTAAAGGGCTGACTGAAGAGAGGACTCTAATTGTGTTGATTTATTGGTGAAATAACATGAAAGCATGGACAGTTCTTACCCCTGGCATGATGATGCTGGAGAGTGAATGGTGCAGCACGGAGGAGCAGAATGCCATTGTTCTTGAAGTGCCGAGAAGAGAAATGCTTTTCAATGTCAAGAGGAATAAGAGGATTCCTTGGAGCCATCGCATCCTCTGAGAGAGAACATAGCAGTTCAGTATGTCATACAGATCACATTGACTTCCTTCAGTCATGGGCTGGGAGAACATGAGCAAGTGTGCACTGGATTTGATTAAAGTATACAGGCCAGAGATTGCCAAACCCAGTCAGTGTTAGATATTTGCAGAGGAGAAGGATCCAGTACTGGTAGTAAACACAGATTGCAATGCATTTTTAGAAAGACTGGACTTGAATTCTGATCTAAACATTTCTGTAAAGAACAGGACTGAATTTGGGCCTAGCCACTTTCCTCCTCAGTACTGTAAAGAAATAACCATCATAAAGGCTGGGACATAGACAATATTCAGTGCAAATTAATTCCCTTCTCTCCCTCCATGTTTACAGAGTATGTCACAGGTTAAAAGCATTTTTCCTGTATATATTTTTCTATTTGATCAATTCTTACAAAAACTACAAGTACTCCCATTTTATAGCTATGCAAACTAAGGCTCAGATAAATGGGGGAACCAGACAGCTGGTAAAATGGTGGCCTGGTTCAAATCTACCCTCTAGGATAGGCTATTCCATGTACCCTCCACTGTCCCACAAGCAACTCCTATGAGCGCTTTTCACATTTCTCCTAGGGGTTTCATTGGGAAAGTACTTTTGGGCACACAATTTCATCTATTCTCATCAAGATTATAAATCAATGAGAAAGAAATGAAAGCCAGATGCTTTAAAATCTCCATGGCCAAAGGATATAGGATTTTGTTTTTTATTAACTGGCACAAGACCAACAGTGACCTTTGACAATAAAAACCCAGTCTAAAGCCATGAGTGGCTCTCATACTCCAGGTTCCCTTCAGAGCATAGGCATGGATGTGGGCAGGGGGAACAGAGATGAGTGGGGCTCTAGTCAGCACCACTTGAGAAATATAAAACTAGCTGCAGGAGTAATTTTACATCTTCTATTAGCCACATTTTCAATATAAAATCAATATAAACTTAGCAACCCTCCCCTTAGGTTGCTGAAGCAGTATCACTACAGAAGTTGATTGCCCAAACTTCTTTCTGAGAGTGGTTGGTGGGTGCGAACCACCAGCCTTGTGGTTAGCAGTCAAACGCCTTAGGCACTATGCCACCAGAGCTCCTAATATAAACTTAAGGAACTTAAGGATTAAAAAATTATTTAGGAGATACCTTACATTCTTCATTTTCATCCTAAGTTTATGAAATTCAGTAGGTATATTTTATAATTACAGCACTCTTCAAATTGGACTAGTCACATTTCAAGTTCTCAATAGCTGCATGAGGCTAATGGCTACTGTATTCAACAGCACACCCGTAAACCCTGCTAGTAGGATAAAGTGGAAAGGACCCCATTTCCTACCTAAACTTACCTTGAGGGACACCATAAAGGCTCCCTTGTTATTGTTATTTTAACTGCTATTTATAGAACACCCACAGTGAGCCAGTTTCTGTGCTTGTTGTATATGTATGTATGTATGTGAATGTAGGGGGTAGTGGTGGTTCAGTGATAAAATTCTCCATGTAGAAACCTGGGCTCTATTTCCAATCAATGTGCCTCTTGCACAGCCAACCATCGTGTCAGTGGAGACTTGTATGTTGCTATGATGCTGAACAGGTTTCTGAAGTGTTTCCAGACAAAGATAGACTAGGAAGAAAGGGCTGGTGATCTGCTTTTGAAAATCAACCTGTGAAAATCCTATAGATCACAACTGTCTTATCTGCAATCATCATGTGGATGGTGCAGGATGGGGTAGCCCTTTGTTCTGATGTGCATGGGGGTATCATGTGTTGGGGGCCCACTTAAGAGCAGCTAGCAACAACATGTATATGCATATCCAAATATGCATGCACACACACATGCAAACATGAAGGCAAACAAGTTAAGTATCATAAAAAATCCTACTGCCATAGAGTAATATTAGATTCATAGCGAGCCCTCGTTGGGTTCCGAGGTAGTATCACTACAGAAGTACATTTCCTAACCTTCCTTCCGAGGAGTGGCTAGTGGGTTTGAACTGCCAGCCTTAGGCACTGTGCTACCAGAGCTCCCATAAGTATTATAGCCCCATGTTTTAAGACTTGGAGAAGTTAATTTAAGGAAGCTAACTGCCCTCCAAACAGTGTTTCTTTGCTATTCATAAGGTTTTCCCTGGCCAATTCTTTCAGAAGTGGACGGCCTCTTCCTTCTTCC